ACTATACACTGTACGAGTAACGCTGTGGTGGGGGAAGCAGGAGCAGTAGTGGTGTAGTATGGTATACATCAAGAGCGTATACAGAAGGCCTTCTTTATACGCTCTTGTATGCATCCTTCCCCTTTGTGGCAAGTGGTTATGACTTCACCTTCTACATTTCGCGTGGGCAAGAAAGATCACTAAATTAAAAAAGACAAGGAAAATCCGACTTACAGTTCCAGTTACACTTACAGTCCGAGTCCGAGTCACAGTCACCAAATCACCGTGTGCACATGCGCAATGTAGACGGGGGATGATTGTCATGGGGGAGGTTGTTTATCATGATGCTGATGTGGTGCGGTTCCTTCCCCTTACTTCCGATGCAGCACGGGAGTTGACAGCGCCCTCTACTGTCTACTTGTTTCTATTGTGGTATTGGAATTTTTCTATAGATGCCGATCAAGAGTAAATAATAACATGTTATATTATCTACTCTTGATGCCGATCCAGAGACCGTGTATGTGTGCGTGCATGCATGCGTGCGTGCGTGTGTGTTGGTACAGGGATGAGGGGTACGTGTGTGTGTGCGTGCGTGCGTGCGTGCGTGTGTGTGTGTTTAGATATGGTTATGTTTATACGGGGGCTTCGGCCGAAACCCTATGATGCGTGGCACATAAGAAAACACTGCAGTTGAGATCTGTCTGCTGCCTGACCCAATAACACGTACTACCCCCTCCCCCCCACCGACATCCCTAGTTGGCTCAGTGCCAAGTTATCGCCACACGATCAGCACGTTTATGTAAATGTTTAGCAGCTTCACAAAATTCAGGCGCTGGGGAAGCTTCCACCAGGTGGCGCAGTCGTGCCTGCGTCAATGTCTGCATTTCTACCGATTCGCCATCATTTCGGATATGGGCTGAAGCACTATTTGTGTGCGCGCGCGCGCGTGTGTGCGTGCGTGCGTGCGTGCGTGTGTGTGTGTGAGAGAGAGAAGTGGTAGGAGAAGGCAGTGACCGGCATCCAATACCCAATGTACTGGTGCTCCATCTCCCCTCATACGGCAATCATATATCGGTTTCCCTGCTGCTGTCACCCTCTCTTAGCCCTGCATATTTTGTATTTGAAATTAACAGTATATATATAATCAGGAGCGCGTGAATAACAATAGATCTATTAATATATTATTATCTAATCTATTATTATTCACTCCTGATATAATTATAACAACGAAGTGATGCATGATGACGTGTGTGTTATATTCACGAATAACAAATGAACAGCCATGGGGCGCGGGGTCGGAGCAGCCGTCGTCGCAGGTGCGTGCTGTCACGTAAAGTTTTGCATGCACACGTTGTTATCTCCTCTTTGACTGCATTTGCACGTGCAATTTTGCGTGCATAAAATTTTGCGTGTATGCTGTGTGTGCGTGTGCGTGAATGGATATCGCTTTCAGATTAGAAACGACAATTACTTAATTAAAAGTAATCGACTGTAAAAATTATGCTACTATATAATTTGTATCATGTATACTAAGGTCATAGGTCAAAGTTAACTCAACTTGAGCGTCCTTCCCCTCCCCCCACACACACACTTACCCACCCTCTTGGTATCGTCGGTCTTTCAGTGTTGTTGCCAATGTTATCATCGGGTGGGTGGTTGTACACGGCCGTTGTAGCGTGGTATCCTTGCCCCCCTATTACAACATTCCCCCATCTACATTGTGCATGAGCATGTCTAACATGGTGCATGGGCTAAGAGCATGCGCAATGTAGAGAAGGGGGGGGACTTTTGTGATAAGAGGGAGTATATACCATGCTACATCGTCTCAGCTTATTTGTGCCAATATGAGTGCCAAACGACGAGAGAGAGAGAGAGAATTATCGATGCTAGGGGGGCGCTCTCGCTCGCCTTTCCGACAACTGCTTTATTCCTACTAAAGAGATGTGAATGTGTGTCTCGCTCGCTGAGTTTATACCGCTTTCGGATCGAGTACCGAAAGTGGAGAATTATTTCCCCCCCCAAGTTCCGCTGTTTATATATATATTTGAACTGAGAATCGGAGTCCGAACGTGTGATTTTCTAGTTGAGAAGCGCCATATCATTGATACGTCTTCTGAGATTCATATGGCGTGCTGCTGCTTGATAACGATGTGGTTATGCGTCGTGTGACATACAGTTTGAGCGTTCTATCTATATATATGTTTGCAATTCTTTTGGTGTTGGGTTGATATCTATATATAATTGCTAGAGATAATGAATAATATAATTATTATAATTGGTGTGCGTATATATTCATAATTATATCGTGGGTGTTATTTTCTTATGACGCGATATTCTGCCTCGGAGAATTTATTTTCAATTTCGCGATCTGGGTGCGCTGGTGCAGCGTAGTAATGTGTACTGCATGAGCTGTGTGTATTTCTTTTGATCGTACAGGTTCTATATTTATTTCGGGCGGGCCTCGAGCGCGCGCGCGTCTTGGAACGGTGCTCTTATGTTATTAATGTGATCAAGCAGCACGTTGTGACTGAGCGAGGTGGAAATGCGCGCCCGATTGTTGGAAACATGGACGTTCGTGGAGACAATGGGAGGGAAAAAACGATCAATCGATTATGATGCGGGACACGATGGCATAATTTCAATGATTTTACGGGGATTTTAATTTTCCGTGTGAATTTTAGCTCGAATTTGTTAGTTTCGTCTGCTAGCACCGCGTCGGCCTAGCGACCAGTGTATCGTTCGTATTGTGCACTATAGGAGCACGCGCACAGTATCACGCGCCTTTCTCAGTGTGTGTGGTC